ACATTATCCATAGAAAGTTCTATAAAATAATTTTTGTATTTCATTGCTCAAATCTGATGGTTACCTTTTTTTTCCCTTTTTCAGGAATCATCCCAGAAGATCTGCAGACAATGTTAACTGTGCAGTTAGAATCTACTTTTTTTCTCTTTTTCTTACAATCTAGTAAATATTAAATTTCAAAGATGTTGCAGTTCAGATTTTGCTACCAACAAAAATCATATGGTTAAAAACTATACTACTCTAGGTGCCACATTCCCCTTGTAGCTAGTTCTTTGTATTTACTGGTAAGACCAGGTTGAGTCTCAGATGAAACTGTAGGCACAAAAGCCACAATTTAATCTTAGCTGAAGAGTCCTCTATTCTCATAGCAGAAACACCTCATCCTCTCACTGTTTTCATGATGCATAAGAAAGGAATTGCGATTCTTTTGAACTAAATGCAGACTTCCACAAGGACATTAAAAGCTGCAGCATGAGAAGCTTTAAAATCAGATCTGATTCATTTTTGATTCATGATTTAGAACTAATAAAAACTAGTATCCCTAAGGTCAGATTGTACACATTGACTGCATTGCAACTACTCTAATAAGAATTCTTCATGTACATGAGTGGTGTTCAAATCCTGTAGTTAAAAGTTGCTACTTAAAAATTTTCCAAAAGAAACTTCTCATCTTGTCCACCTCTATGATGTAAATTTAAGAAAACTTTCCTAATTTATTTGGTTCTTTCATAGGCTTAGCAATGTCTTTGGAGTTCCTTTCAACAACAGAAGCATTTAGGCTGCACTTCCAGCATTAGCGAAGCAGACACTCTTAAATGACAGCTAATTCATTTAAAGCAATCTTCATCCAAGCTATAGCCAACGACCCTGTGCATCCTATGACAGGACAATTGCAACTCATTCATTTTATCATAGCAACATAGGTTTACCTACTAGTTCTGTATATCCACTTCTAACTGCTGGTGGTTGGCTCTGCAGGAAGATTCTGCATCCTTAGTTTTGCATCATACAATAAATGTGCTAGCTCACCACATAATGCTGGACGTAAAAGTAAAAGAGTCCTTCTCAAACCTTGCAACAGATTCTTGTATTTGGAGTTGGAAAATTGGATTGCCATTATTTTATCTTGTGTAGCTACAAAAGCTTACAAAGATGCACCTCACAGTCAATAATTATGCATCTTCCTGTATCTTCTCACACTTGCCACCTTGGCAAACGACTCCAAGGCCCTAACTCCAAAAAGCCATTAAGGAGGTGGAAGTGCTGCTTATATAAGTAGTTCCATTTAGCACCAGCACAAAGCGCTCCACCTGAAGCTGAGCTCAGCCTGCTGACCAGGATCCAAGAAATCTGCTGGAGTCAAGAAATCTGCGCTGACAACCATGGATGGCTTCTTCAGTTGGCAGAAAAAACTCAGGCAAGCTGCATGGCATGGTGAAGATGCCACAGGTGTCCCCACCTCCTCTACGTCCTGTTCTGATAACAGTGACAGCACTCACGTTTCTATCCATCCCTCACACTCTTGCAGACCTACCTAATGTATACAGAGAGCAGAGGTCACACTTGCTATCCGATTTATAGGCCACCTGGCCCATAGTCTACTACTGCTGCCTAGTGAAATCTCATTGGAAAAACACTGATAGGTAATCGAGTTGAAGTACCCAGTTCCGTTTCACTTGCCTGTCTGTAAAGCACCTCTGCATTAACCCATACTACCAACTCTGTATCACGCTGTGTCAGTCTTTTCATTGAAGTTTCACATATTTCAGTGCTTTGCAAGATCAAAAAGTAAATTGTTCAATATGACAGTACATATTTTTTCATTATTTGCCTTCTTTGTTCACAGGTTTCATTGTTTTTTTTTATTATTATTTTTTATTTTTATTTTCCTAATACGTTAATCAGGCTTCTTTGCTGGTTTACTCTTAACGATTCTTAAGGCTTTTTTCCTTTTGGTATAATTTGAGTATGTGTTAAGATTTTCCTATTTTCCAGCAGTGTGCACTTGCAGGCTTTAGAAGACGTCACTTGAACCACTGCCTCAAGACAGCAGTAGCTGCAGTTTCACTCGCCAGCACAACTTGATGCTCCCAGCAGATGGTGTAAAGCCCACTTCCCAGCCCGGAGCACAACACTGGGTTTGCTCAGCCTGAGCAATCCAATTTCCATCGCACAGACCGCAATTCCTGCGGCAGAAGTGGGAGGACAGCCCGGGCACCGGGGCTCTCCCTTCATTGGGGTCAAGACACCGAAGGAGCCCTCTGTGGGCCAGCAGTTTTGCAAAGCCAATATTAATTCTTCAGTGGTCTGTGTAACTGCTCTTGTGTTTCCAAGTATTTCTATTTATTCTCTCTTCCACTCTTTTCAACAGGGACCTTATCCAAAAGCAAAACCTCAGTGGTATTTGGTATTGATTGCACTAATCCAACAATGTATTTGCTATTTCAGATGCTGGAGAATTACATATTCCCTCTTAAAATCACATACACAGTTTCATTTCATGGGTACATTCATTCAACAATTACCCTGGTGTATCTTTTAATTAGACCATCAACCACTCCTATTGAAATAAAAATCAGTAAGTCTGTTCTTTTCCACGACAAACATTGATTAGTTACTGTACAAGTTTCAGAAGAGTAGCTGGTTTTAAAGAATTATATTTAAGACCTATAGGCTTTGTGGTATTCCAGGTGAGCCTGGAAGACAGTTTGTTATCATATTCACTGTTTCATACTTCGTATCTTTCAGATCCTTTATTTAAAAAAAAAAAAAAAAGAAATAAAAGAGTAATTTCAACACCTGACTTGCTCCCATTGCTCTATAATTTTTTTCTCAAAGATGACGTTTCCCAAAGCCATATCGCAGATGTCCTTAAAAATGTAATTAGGGGTCAGCCTTTCACTACTGTTTTACCTATCATCACACACTAGCTACCTGGCTTGTTTTTTCATTACGAATGCTTTCTGTCTCTGGACGTATTTATGCCAAACTTATTACCATGAGATTCTGATTGAAGCCTTTGTGCTTCCAAAGCAGTTGCAGAATCTTTAATCATAAAAAACAATCAAAGACATGAAGATACTATCCATACATTTTACAAGTCTAATTTTCAACAGAATCTTGTTTCAGTTGCGAAAAAGAAATGCCATGTGTTCAAATGGTATATATTAATCAGTACTTTAGTTTTTCACCAAAGCAATGGAAGCAACTGCCGCAAATAAGTTTACATTTGAATCCAAATGGTGCTCTCATAAGCAAAATGACAAACATGTCTTATAATTTCAGCTTCTGTGTGGTTCATGCACAGGCATACAGAATAACATTTGCAATAATCTGGAGTCTGTTTTTCTGATTTTATTTTTACCTTGTTTTCATCATAATAAAATCATAAGCCTACTCATAGCTATTCAAAATAACAGTCCAGATGCTGCCATCATTTGTACTAGCATAAACACAATAGCAGTGTGAAACCCATGGATGATTAGTATCAATACTACTATTCTCATTGCACTTCCGCAGGGCTTTGAAGGTCCTAGATTTCTGTTACTGTAAGTCTTTTTCATAATGTAATACCAAAAAGTGCTGAACAATTTGAGTGAACAAAATTATCTGATACCTGCATCTTCAACTATTTGCTTCCTATTTCTAAACAAAGCCTGGGAAGAAGGAAAGCTTTATAACAGGGTTCTGTCCCCACTCTGCACATCCCCATGGCAATATAAACTGCCTGTCCTCCTTTTTTCCTAATGAACTTATGACCACGTTTTATTCTCTCTGGCATCAAAATCCAGCTCAGAAAGAGGAGCAAAGGCAAACACCCCAGAAGATGGCAGATTTGAGCTTAGTCAACGGCCTTTAAAAAAGCCTTCCAAGTCATTCCTCTGCTTTCAGCCTGTACCATCCAACTACATTGCAAACTCTGTATTTAAGGAGACAGGCACTTGCCATCACCAGGAAAATTTACTGGAAGTCTTCTCAATAAAGGTCAATGACCTGAAACCTGTCAGATTTTTTTTTTTTTAAAAAAAAAAGCACTTGGAAAAAATTCTTAAACATTACAAAAATATATTGATCTACTTTCCTCTTTGGACATAAAATACACCCTTATAAAATGAAAATTTTACCAAAACATCTGTTCAAAAGGGGCAACTACTTGCCTTCACCCATAATCCCAATATACCTGTTTTAACAGAGACAGATATTGGAGTTGCATTTCTTATAATCAACGGCAAAAATTCAGAAACAAATATGTATCATACAGTTATATACAGTATATGTGATGCTCATTCTGCCCTTCTCATTCACAGAGATATGCATGAATTTCCCAGACATTATAATAGATCGCTTTACTCCCTGCCTAACTTTGACCAAATGGTGCAATACAGAACAATTAAAACCAGACATGAAGTACAGTTAACAAATAGATACCGAATATGTACGGACTAACAATTGCTGCATTGTATCATTGTAACAAAAACTCTTACAGTGCAAATTGCACTACATAAATACACTTAAAGCTATGTATAGTATGTTATTAGACTTATAAGTAACTGAGTAGAAAACTATGCTCAAGCAAAATGCTTTAGGAGATTAGCCACCATCCTGTTTCTTTGTTTGTGAGTAACTTAATTTTAACAAAAAAAGTCAGAGCTGGAGATTCATTACTAGTGCTGGTCCAATTACACATGTCCAAAGATAATCGAGATGGTATGATACCTTAACATTTAATGAGAGACTCTGTTGAGATTCTGAAGCTGTGAATTACATCAGGGTGGAAATATGTTTCTCTGTATTTCATTGAACACCTGCTAAACTTCATTCAAAGAAGAAGAAAACCCTCCATTCCATTATCAGGAATGAAAGACCATGGAAATGGTGTGAGTAAGTATATATACTCTAGAAGTCAGCAAATAAATACTTCTTTATGACTACCACAAGTTTTGGGATTAATTGCAGCAAACTTAATCTCATATCCAATGAACAAATTCAGAAACACTTACCATGATTCCAGTGAGTAAACAGACTCCTTTCCCACAGTAAGTATTAGGTACCATGTCACCATATCCAATGGATAGAAAAGTTATTGAAATCAACCACATTGCTCCAAGGAAGTTGCTAGTAACATCCTGTTGATCATGGTATCTGGAGAGAAAAAGAAAACGATTTCTTTATTGTGAAAATTTTTGTTAAACTTTTGTGCTGTCAGAAAGAAATCACATTAACTGGTCACACCACCATTCTTGTATTCTACAGTTATTTCCTTTTTAAAAGCTATAACAAATTAAATAAAACTCAAATGCAATTACATCAGTATTAAAGAAACAGAAGGTACAAAAATAGCACTGGCAGTAAAAATATACAGGATGGTTTATAATTCAGTATTCTGTTACTAGTATTAAAATAGCAGAAATCTCTTGATTTTTAATAGAATCTCTTCATCAGGGGTACAAGTCCTGCTAATCCTCTGCAGTGGCATAAGTCACCAGTCTACTATAGTTACTGCAGTCTGAGGCAAATATGAAAGTCAAGAAAAAGATGCGTGGGCAAGCAGGCAGCAGAGAACATCTCCATCTCCTTGGCCTAAATGCAAGTCTGTGATCGGAAACCTAATCATCAGCTATCATGTAAATGCTGACTTAGACAACCAAAGATCTTCCCTCTCCTTCTACATGTTCAAGATAAATAGAAAATTAATGCACTGTATTTCCCATTATCAAAAGATCTTTATCTTAAACATGGCAAAACTACCCTTTTGTGTTGTCAGCTATTAAATGTAATTTCCTGATGTGACACTTCTTGTCTTAGTTTTAATATTCTAGTGGAATATGTTCATTTTCTCCTTCAAAAAAACCAAGTTCAGATGAAGAATCTAGTCTTCATATGACATACTTTCCTAACCAACTGGGAAGCCATAAGGACACATTTTAGGGCTAAAACCTGTTATCACCACTCACTCTGTGGAGGAAAAATGCCTGGTAGCCTAATGTGGGTAGAATTTTGCTCCTCAGACAGAGTAGTTCTGCAACAGAGACTAT